AAACAGCTGTAGCAGTACATAGACAGGGAGCTGCCAGAGGTTCAGGCTAGACTCATACAGGGACGTGGAGCGATGAATATCATTGCTGACATCAGCTGGATGTTGGATAAAAGCAGAGGATACCAGAAAAAATGTTTACCTTTGCCTTATTGATTACACAGAGACTTTCGATTGTGTGGATCATGCCAAGTTATGGACAACATTGCAGAGAATGAGTATTCTGGAACACTTAATTATGCACATGAGGAACATGTATATAGAACAAGAGGCAGTCATTTGAACCGAACAAGGGGACACTGAATGGTTTAAAATCAGAAAAGGTGTGCACCCACCAGGGTTGTATTCTTTCACCATACTTACTCAATGTGTATGTTGAGCAAATAATTCAAGAAGCTGGATTATATGAAGAAGATTGTGGCATCAGGATTGGAGGAAGACGCATGAACAACCTGTCATACACAGATGATGCAACCTTGTTGCTGAAAGTGAAAAGGACTTAAAATACTGATGAATATCAACGAACAGCCTTCGTTATGGGTTGTACCTCAATGTAAAGAAAACAAACCTCACAACTGGACAAATAAATAGCATAGGGATAAGTGGAGAAAAGTTTGAAGTTGTCAAAGACTTCCTTTGTTCAGATCAACCATCAACACTTGTGGAAGCAGCAGTCAAGAAATCAAACGGCGTATTGCATTAGTCATATCTGCTGCACATGATAATTTCAATAATCTCATATGCATGTGAAAGTTGGACAATAAGTAAGTAACAATTGTAGAAGAATTTATGCATTTAAGTTATGGTATTGGAGGAGAATATTGGAAGTACCATGGCCTACCAAAAGAACATCTGTGTTAGAAGTACAGCCAGAATGTTGCTTAGAAGCCAGGTTGTTCAGACTTCATCTCTCATACTTCGAACATATTATCAGACATCATGCTTGGTATAGTAAGTAGATGATCAGCGAAAAAGAGGAAGACTCCCAATGAGATGGATTGGCACAGTGGCAACAGCAATGGGCTCAAGCGTAGCAATAACTGTGAGATTGTTGTGCATAAGGTTGTGCATAAGGTTGTGTCGGTATGGACTCGATGTCATCTAATAACAATAAGTAGGAATCAACTTGTTGGTAGTGGGCTCGGTTTTTTTGGTTTGGTGTAGTTGCAGTGACAACTTCAAAAATTTTCTTTTTTTACAATGATCCTTACGCTGGATTTATTTATCTTGAATGGTGGGAAACTACAGCAGCAGACTTCAATCTATGCATATCACACAATTCAATTTTGTCCTGTAATGGCTTAACGTTTCTCTGCTTCTTGGGAGCACTTCCAGCATCACCAGTGGCACTTGATATAGGTACCATGTTATTTAAGGCTAACAGTTTTTCACTAATCATGAAAAATAAGTGAGAATTGTGAAAGGTCACTTTTTACTACTATGTGAATTTTATTGAAGAGACGAGCTGCTCACTTAGAGATGTTTAATGTCACACAGCATTGAAAAAAAAAAAAAAACAGTTAAGTATACCCATGAAGTTCAAGTGTTAGTCCTATAAGCTGCTGGTATTAGTAAAGAGGGTAGAAGGAATACAGATTGCTCATTGTGTGCTTTTGGTGTTGTATCAAACAGGAGGATTCACTAGTAGGGAGGTTTGGATAGTATCACAACTTGAGTTTGATTCTGTGTCTGGCATTTTAACAATCTTTTGGAGGTTGGCCAAGCTGCAGTTGGCTAAGATCACATGCAGTGTTAAATGCTACAGTCTCTTATCCAGACTGGCTTGATTTGGTAGGGAGGATAGTGAGAAATGTTTTTACCTTAAATTATGTAAATTGGTAGACTGATATTATGCCGAGGAATCTTCTAAAGTTTTTTTTCTTTTTCTTTTTTTAGATAAATCTCAAACAGCTACTAAAGTTATTTTAAAACTTTTTCAGTCACATTTAGTTTTGATTTCCTTTTGGTATTTGCTGAGAATATAAGTAAGTTAGATGTTTCCATTACTTTATTTTTTAGGAATGTGTCTGAATGCTTGCTTTCAGGGTTCTAACTTGGGCAACATAGTAGCAAGTCTACAAGATAGCTTTATGTATAAGAACAGTCACAATGAATTATTCTTAATCATTGTGTATTTCTTGATCTGTTTTAATTGTGACAAAATCAGTTTATGTGTTCGGAGCCCTGGTTTGGCGCTGTGGGCTAATGCATCAGACTGCAAAGTCGTTTGAACTGCAAGATTGGTGGTTCAAGCTCACCAGCTGTTCCTTGGAAACCCTATACAGGGTTGCTATGGGTCGGAATCAACTCGATGGCACTTAACAACAACAACATTTAATAGATCCCTCCACCCCCGAGATTATTTGCGAAACAGTAATAATGGAATTGGTTTAGACTAGGGGGTGGCTTTTCAGGTATACATGGGGTGGCAGGGTGGGGGACTTAAGCTGTGACAAATTTTAAAGTACAGCCTAGTGTGCAAAGTGATGAACATCTGTGGCTTATGTCATGTTAACTCCATCTTAAAATGTTCTTTTACCTATCGTTGTTGTTGTTTGCCGTGGAGTCGGTTTCGACTCATAGTGACCCTGTATAGGGTTTCCGAGGCTGTAAATCTTTACGGGAGCAGAAAGCCTCATCTTTCTCCTGCGGAACAGCTGGTAGTTTCAAACTGCTGACTTTGCGGTTCGCATCCTGATTCGTAACCACTACGCTACCAGAGCTCCTTTTTACCTATCATGTTGTTGCTGTTATGTGCCGTGGAGTTGATTCCAACTCATAGCGACCCTATACAGGGTGTAAATCTTTACGGGAGCAGAAAGCCTCATCTTTCTCCTGCGGAACAGCTGGTAATTTCAAACTGCTGACCTTGCAGTTCGTGTAACCACTATGCTACCAGAGCTCCTTTTTACCTATCATGTTGCTGCTGTTGTTATGTGCCGTGGAGTTGATTCCAACTCATAGCGACCCTATACAGGGTTTCCGAGGCTGTAAATCTTTACGGGAGCAGAAAGCCTCATCTTTCTCCCGCGGAACAGCTGGTAGTTTCAAACTGCTGACCCTGAGGTTCGCAGCCCGATTCGTAACCACTACGCTACCAGAGCTCCTTTTTTATCTATCATAGTCTATGTAAATATGCTCATCCATTGTCATGGGTTATTTACAGACTAATCAAGTTGCTACTTATTAGTGAAGACGTATCTTTAGTTCGTTTATGGAATATGATGTATATGATGTTTCTTAGTTTACAGAGAAGTTGCTTATTTTGCTTATTTCACTGGACTCCATAGACAGTTGTGTTGTGGTTGTTGTTGGTTAGTGCCATCAAGTTGGTTTTGACTCGCAGAGACCCTGTATAAGGTTTCCGAGGAGCAGCTCATGGGTTTGAGCCATCCAGTGCTTGCCCTAGAGTACCACACCTGTGCCTATAAAAAGAGCACCGTTAAAAAATGGCTGTTTCAGGTTTGAGTCACCAGATTTCCCTGTTTTGTTTTTTCCCTCCTTGGATTTTAATATGGTGGGAAATATGTGTATCAAGAGATTTTTTTGAAGAGTTTGCCAAGTATGCCCATTTGTTAACATTTGCAGATATTTTTTTTGGGGGGGGGGGTGCGGAGAGGTTGTCGGCATTAAATAAATTGTCCCAAAAGTTACATAATTTACTAATTTCTCAAAAGTATATTAGAAATAATTTAATTTTGCTGGTATGTTTTTATCGCCTGTCCAGATGATGAATGAAAGGATTTATTGTATCTAAGAGTATATAAAGAGGCCAAGTTTGTAAAGCCTTATTGAAATAATCTGTTAAGTTTACCAACATTTATGGAACTCCTCACTAGTTACCACACAAACATTTAAATATAAGCTATATAAATACATTTATATAAATATGATTAAAACTAGGGTACTGAGGATAAAGGAAATTGACAATAGTTGAATTACTCCTTAAATTTTAAAGTAGATAAGATGATTACTGTCTAGAAATAAAAATGTGTAAAACAGCTTGTATTGGCAATATTCTCCCAAGGTACTTGGGCTTGTTGTGTTTTCTTTTTCTTTATTTTTCTATTTTACTTGTTTTTGTCTAACAGGCGTTTCTGTTGCCTTTCGTGAGTCCCATCTGTCACAGGTGTGCCTAGGCTATACCAAAAGTCATGATAGTGAAATATCTTAGCTGAAATTGAGGGACCAGAAAGGGGAGTCAGCCCTGTATCCTCCTTTTAAATGGGAAATTTTTGTTACAGAGACATAGAGGCACTTTGGAATTGCCAGTCTCTTTCAAGGGCTTTAACGAGGAATGTGTAGAGTGACTCGCCTCCCAACATGGAAAAGATTCTGTACATTTTTTTATCTGCCTGGAATGGTGAGGAGAGTCTATTGCTTTCTGTGAAATTGCCAAACCCTTTCAAGTTCTCTTAGGACTTCAGTAGAGTTCTTTGAGAGCATGTTCTATAAAACAGTATTACAAATGGTTTAAATTCTTCTCCAGTTTTGATGAGGAACATCAGTAGATGGCACTCTGTGTTCAAATGAAGATTAATCTCTTACTTTCACCTTCTTTGTCTCTGTGAAAGGATTTAAAGCCCTAGATACACTAGTAAGGCATTTGGTGTGGTGGTGGTGTGCCACCAAGTCATTTCTGACTCATAGCAGCCCTATATAGGGATTTCAAGGCTTTAAAATCTTAATGGAAACAGAAAGCCTCATCTTTCTCCTGTGGGGTGACTGGTAGATTCTAACTACTGACCTAGCCATTAGCAGCCCATCTCATAATCCAGTTTGCTACTAGTTCTCCTTAGTAGCAAACAACAGAAAAGAAAACAAAACAAGGCATGTGGATGTACCGGTGTCAAACTTGAGCCCATAGAGTGTACCGTCGAAACTACTATGGGAAGAAGATAGGACTGTAGGATTGAACCAGGAATACCAGAAGTAAATCACTTGTCCACCAGCAGTTTGAATGGCTAATTTTTCAGTTTGTGGTTTTTTATTTTTGTTTCAAGATCTTAGCAAAGCAATGTCTCAAGATGGTGCCTCTCAGTTCCAAGAAGTCATTCGTCAAGAACTAGAATTATCTGTGAAGGAGGAACTAGAAAAAATACTCAGCACAGCACCGTCACATGAGTTTGAGGTAGGAACTCCAGTGTTTTTGTTTTCCTCTGTTTTGAGTTGTTGCAGATGATGGTGATCATCTAATCTGAACTAATAATCACAAGATGGAATCACAACAAAAAATCCGGATTGCTTGACAATTAAGGGTTTTCAACATTTATATTTTTCCTTTCCAAAACCATTGTCTTTTTTTCCCCCTCCATTCTAACAAGTTTCTTAAGTTGCTAAAATAATCAGAAAAAAAATACATTTTGTTTTGTGTTTGAATATATTGGGTAGAGAAATGGATATCAGTGTTCAGTTGGAATCATGAGACATTGCTCATGCCTTTTCCTAAGTGCCAGTGCTAGTAGAATCATCCTGTTTTGACAACATTAATAGAGGTTTCCCAGAATCGTGAGGTGTTATTTTTCTAATCATCATATTATGTTTTCCATTTCCAAATTTTAATTAGTAGATACTGTTTTGTGGTTAGGTGTCTTTTATTTTTGTACTTTTTAGTTCAGATGAATTTCCATTTTAAAGAAATAAAGAAGGATATCGGTGAATAATTGTAGAGAGCCAGTTGACATTCCCATGAACCAATAAGTGTTTAGAGTATGTAGTACGGATGGGAAGTCAGGAAAATCATTTGCTTTTAATACTTTAAGTGTAGGTTCCATTAGTTTTTCTTTCTCTTTAATTTTAAATTGGGCTATTTAAAAACTCTCTACTCCTTTTAATATAAAAGAATTTTGTTTGGAGGCATTTTGAATGTGTAATATACCTGTTTTTATTAAATACTAGGTATTCTGCTGGCTATAACAATGATTTCTATTTTCACAGCATACTAAAAAAGACCTTGATGGATTTCGGAAGCTATTTCATAGATTTTTGCAAGAAAAGGGGCCTTCTGTGGATTGGGGGAAAATTCAGAGGCCTCCAGAAGATTCGGTAAGTTTTAGATAAAGTGTAGAAAAATGTTATTTCAGGGTAAAATGTAGAAAAATGTTATTTCAGACATTGGTATGACTTGTTCGGAGGAGGGTAGAAAGTAAGGAATCCATAAGAACCATCATTCAGGCACCGACAAGGGAGGATAGCTTTGAATTCTGTCTCCTCAGGCTGAAACTATATAGAAGTAGCTTTCTTCTACTTCCTGCTTTCCCATCTTTTAGACTTTTCTTGCCAGTCATGCAGAGGATTCCTGTCTGTCTGATCTTCCTGCAGCACTGCCTCATAGCTTACCTTCCCTTAGTATGAGAGAACTGTTTTGCAAAGTATCAAACACTTAGAGCTTCATTTATGTTCTGTTCTTCCTTCTTGCTCCTGGCCTGGACAGAGAGACTGGTACTTAAAAGCTTTCTCCAATCTTTCAACCCATCTTTATTGCCTGATTTTCCCTGTTTGCCTTAATTAAGCCAACATGGCACTCCCTTCTTATATGTTATATTTGCCTGCTTCTGAACACCTGTGCAGGTTGTATTTTTGGAATACTATGAATGGTCTCTTCACCTATAAAAATGCTAGCTCTGCTGCTTTGTGTAAAATGGGAAATAACCAAGTACTTTTTATATACATCACAGGTTGATATTTGGCTTTATTAAGATAATATGTATGGTAATGGCAAGTCCTGCAGAAATAAACCATAACCGCCATGCAGCATGTAGGCAGCCTCATGATTGTATGTGTGTGTTATCATCTATACTAGGCCATATATTCCTTGAGGCCATGGAGCAGGTGTCAGACTTTATTACCTGAGCAAATAATTGCTGAATGAATGATCTAAATGAAGTAATTGTCTATGGAGTGAGTTCTGGTAACATAATGACCTTCCCTCCTTTTTCTTCTGGCTGGTCTAGCCGTGGACTGCTTATAACACTTTTGACTGCAGGTAAAAAAAGACTGGATCAAGTGGAATAATTGTATGTAGATAGTTTATCTCTTATATGTCTATCAGTTTTAGATCATCTAGTATTGGTCCTGTTGTGGTGCTGGACTGTAAAGTCAGTTTGAGCCACAAGGCTGGCAGTTCAAGCTCTTCAGAAACTCTATTACAGGGTCACTATAGGTTGGAACTGACTCGACGGCGCTCAAAAACAATGACAACAGGACTAGTTTAAAAATAAGGTTGTTTAGTGGAGTATGGGGAACTATTTACAAAAAAGCTGGCCTGTCACTTGTATTTGTAAAGTTTTATTGGAACACAGCCAGATTCATTCATTTATGTCCTAATTATAGCTACTTAAACTAATTATTATATTTTTTCATAATTGTTACATTTTTTCATAAGGAAAAAGATTTTAAATATAGTACTCAGTTGAGAGCATTATATTCATATATATGGAAATTAACTTACATGTATTAAACTTTTAAAAATGATAAATTCCATGCTCACTGTAGAAAAGTTGGACAACAAACTGAAAAAGAAAAAGCTTCCTTAATCATTCATCTTGAGGAGTCCTTTAGTTTTTATGTTAAAGTTAAAATTTCTCTTGCCTAGCGTGTTTGCTGATTACAGTATGCATGTTTTTGGAAGGCTGCTTTTTTTGGTCTTTGGCTTCTTTGGCACTGGTGGACGAACTGTGGTTTATTTTTCTCTTTTTGAATAGTAGAATTAATATTACATTCTCCTGAAAAAGAGTAATTCTCTGAACAGGTATGTTGTTAAAAGAAGGAACTAGATATGTATTCAGCCAGATTTTAAAAATGTTGAACGTAGGCCTAAAATTGTACTTAAAAAATTAGACTTTGTGTATTTAAATACGTACCTTTTTTGTTTAGGAATTATTCCTAATTGAAGTAACCTCACTTTAATAATGAAGGCTGGGTTCCCGGGTATAAAGCTGTAGGTTTCTCCCTGATTAATTGTAGCTCACAAACCTGGGAAGTTCTTGTTTTCCCCTACACAAACTTAACCATTTGATGATAACAAGCTCACCTTAAAGCAGACACATAGCTGCAATAATTTCAGCACATTTTAAGATTCAGACTTATGCTCTGTCAGTGGAAAAACAGGTCTCTGTGCATTTTGCAAGAAGATCATGATATATGGCAGGGTTTCTTGAAGTGGGAATTGGAGAATGGGAAAAGAAGTTTTAGAAGAATCAGAAGCATTTTAGGGGATTTTTGCAATTCCGTACTACTGTCCCCATTCCAAAAGGTTCTGATAAAATCATAGTTACTTAGGGGAATGCTGAATGGATGTAGAAAAAAGAATAGAAATAAAAAATAGAATTCTGAGTATAATGTGACTGGTGATTTTTTTGTTTGTTTGTTTGTTAAGTGTAAGTCATCATTTTGAAGCCCAGTATTTGAGCACTTAAAAAAAAAATAAAATGCGATATGCCCATGATGTCAAATGTTTAGGAATGTAGAGCCAAAAAATAGAGTTTGCTCTTCAGCTATGTCATTAGCTTCTTGATGGCACAAATGTGTATTACATGTGTACCTTACCAGCTTTTGCCGTGGTGTGGGAATCATGGGTAAATGTTTGTTCCCCTGATGCCTTAAATCTCTCACAACAACACACACATAGATTTTCTCTGAAGTTTTAGAGATTATATACAGATCAATGTTTATTTCAAAATAAAATTTTTGTAGTGAACATAGGTTTTTATTTTTTAAATTCAGACACTATTTTAACCTCCTAACCAAAAAGAAGTTATTGTGGGAGAGCAGCCATTTAAAGTGATATTTTTCTTGTTGGTTGTCTTAAGCTGGGCTTTTTGGAAAAGTAAAACCAGTGAAACACATGTATGTATTTGTTGTTACGTGCCGTCGAGTCAATTCTGACTCACAGTATAGGGTTTCCCAGGAGTAGGTGATGACTTTGAACTTGTGGTTCAAACTGACCTTGCAGTCCAATGCATTATCCTACAGTGCCACACCAGGACTCCATGTGTGTGTGTATATTGTTGTTGTTAAGTGCATTCAAGTCGGTGTTGACGCATAGCAACCCTGTATAGAGTTGACAAGGAGTGGCTGGTGTGCTTGAACCACTGATCTTGTGGTTCAAACTGACCTTGCAGTCCAGCTCATTAACCCACAGTGGCACACCAGAACTCCGTGTGTATGTATGTGTATAAAAGTCTATTGAAGAGACAAACAAGATGGCAGATCAAGTGTACGTGTGTAGTAAAGAGCTCCGCCAACAACAACACAGAGTACCCGACCAAGTAGGCTCAGGAGATAATTCCAGAACTCTGAACCACATATAAAGGAATATTTAGAAAGTTGGAAGGCTTACAGCTGGGGGAATTTGTGGCAGAAGCAAGAAATCTATTGCTTTCTAGTCTGGGACGCTCGGCTGCCCCAGGAGTCGCCATCTTGGGTGAGACCAAGCAGGGGAAGGATTGGAGCAGCCACAGACGCCTGGCAGAACTGCTGAGATAAAGGTGTGGACGTTATTTTCTTTTGGTAGCTGTTCATTGGTCCCTTGCTGTCTGTGCACCTCCATTCTGGTGACTCTAGGGTTGCCTGAGCTATTGGGCACCCCAGCCCCACCCTTGGAGGGTCCTACTACGCATGTGCACCGATCTCCTCGGTATTTAAAGAGACAGCTTCCAATTAAAACCAAAAAGCCACAGCTGACCCTGAACCATATAGAACTTTCCATTGCCTCAAAAAGTTCCCTTGTAGCCCTTTAAAATAACAGAAAACCAAAACCTGTTGCTGTCAAATTGATTCTGACTTAAGGTGATTCCCATGTGTAATGGAGAGTAAAACTGCTTCGTGAGAGGTTTTTTTTGGGGGGGCTGTAATCTTTCAGAAGCAGATCGTCAGGCTTTTACGTCCTTGGAGCTGCTAGGTAGGTTTGAACCTCCAACATTTAGGTTAGTAGCTGCTTGCACCCCCAGAGACCTCCTTTAAAATATGCTTACTCTTAAACCCTAATCTGATTGCAATTTTTTATTTTTTTATTGCAATTTTAACGTGTACCTTTAACATACAATCTACGGAGATAGGTATCTTTTAAAACTATACCTTCCCTTCATTTAGAGTCTCCACCACACTTACTTTCTTTTTACAGTCTCTGGCATGTTTCCCCATGTTCTGTCTCATTTCTTCAGGGCTTCATTAACAATGTGAATTCAGTAATTAAACTAAGACTCAGAACTGACTCTATGGCAATGGGTTTGATTTGGGTAATAAGCTCCAAATGATTAATGTGCTCAGCTGCTAACCAAATGGTTGTCAGTTTGAGTCCACCAAGAAGCACCGCAAAAGAAAGACCTGCTAGTCTCCTTCTGATAAATCTGCTGTTGAAAACCCTGTGGAGCACACATGGGTCTCCACTGAGTTGGAATTGACTCTATAGCAACCGGTGTACTATACACCTCTTTGATTAAAAAAAAATAAAAATTATATATTACTGCCTTTGCAGTTAAAAAAAGTACCAATAAGCCTTTGAGTTTCCTAGAATTTCTGTAAAAAATTCTAGATTGCAGTCAGGTTTAGGGAGCATTTGGCACCTTCTTTTCATAGTTACCTCCTACACTATAGAATCATTTGCCATCTATAATCACCCTGCTTTGTTTTTTCATCCTAGTTTTCTGCCTGTCTTTTCCTCTTTTTCCTCATCTTCTCTCCAGTCTATCAGGTTTGAAGTGCTCAGTTATAGTGATGGCTGGTGGCTATGTGCCGTGGGGTCGGCTCCGACCCATAGCAACCCTGTACAGGGTTTCCGAGGCTGTAAATCTTTACAGGAGCAGAACGCCTCATATTTCTCCTGCAGAACAGCTGGTAGTTTAGAACTGCTGACCTTGAGGTTTGCAGCCCGATTCGTAACCACTACGCTTCCAGAGTTCGCTCAGTTATACTGATGTTGTTGTTGTTGTTAAGTGCCGTCGAGTCGGTTCCGACCCATAGCGACCCTGTACAGGGTTTCCGAGGGTGTAAATCCTTACGGGAGTAGAAAGCCTCATCTTTCTCCCGCGGAGCGGCTGGTAGTT